GGTTAGTTCAGGGAGAGATATGATGTCACAGTTATGATTAGTGTAGTAGGAAATAATGGAAGCTGAAATATGGAAGTGAAGACGACATGCAGATGAGGCCCATAAGGAATAGTTTTGGATCATTTGACTGAATTTGAGCCAGGGTAGTTTCCACATGATCTGAGCCCAGAAAATATGTATTAAAAACAAAAATGGGTGGGGAGACACTGTTTCCGCTTGGCTTGCTGTGTTGTGAAATTAGTGATTTCCCTCAGCTGCTGCTGGGTAGACAGATTCCTTTTCAGTGGGGTGGAATAGAAAACACCAACTCTCCCCATCTCCAATTTCACCCTTCTGAGGCTACATTCAGTCTCAGCAATAGTTAAAAGGAAGTATGTTCAGCAGGAGCCTTAATCAGGAAGATGGATGTCTGTGAAGATTCTCAGTCATCCGTGTCATGGCTGTCCCCAAAGGGCTTTTTCAAAAGGCAACTGAACTTTCTTTGTTTTCCCCTGAAGACGTTTCGTTTCTCATCCAAGAAGCTTCTTTGGTTCTGACTCTGACTTCTTTAGTTCAGTCAGAACTGAAGAAGCTTCTTGGTTGAGAAGCAAAATGTCTTCAGGGAAAACCTCTGTTATAAGTTGGGCAAGGTTGCATGATTTTTTTCACTTTACAACTGCATTGCTTAGCGATGAAATTGCCAGTCCCAGTTGCAGTCGGTAAGTGAGGACTACCTGTATGTGTTTTTATACCAGTAAATAAAACAAAAATGAACAAAACAAATGTAGCAATTTCAAAATACTAAAAGAATAAAATTAAAAGGCAGACAAGAAAGGAAAAACTTTGGGAAAAAGCAGGAAGAAAGGAAAAAAAGCAACTTCTGACTTACAACCAATTACTTAATGACTGTTCAGTTACAACAGACCTCCCAAAAGCTACTTATGTTTTGGACTTTTAACGTCTCCCCCTCCCCCCCAGTCAAACGATTGCATTTTGGGTGCTTGGCAACTTGCCTGCATTGCAGGCTACTTGCAGTGTGTGCAGTCGTGTGAGTGTGATTTAAAATGTTTTTGCCATAAACTGGCATTTACTGGTCCATATTATGGTGAACAATGGTTTCACATAACAAACACAGCATTTACTTAACAACTCTGCAAGCAAGGTCATAAAACTAGGTTCAGTCACATGGTGATTTGCTTTATGGCCATTACGCCTTATAACCGTCATTACAAATAGTCCTCACTTATGACCACAATTGAGCCCAAAATTTCTGTTGCTAAGAGAAACATTTGTCAAGTGAGTTTTGCCCCAATTTACGACCTTTCTTGCCACAGTTGTTAAGTGAATCATTGCGGTTGTTACGTTAGTAACACAGTTGTTAAGTGAACCTGGCTTCCCCTTTGACTTTGCTTCTCAGAAGGTCGCAAAAGGGGATCACATGAACCCGGGACACGGCAACCCATCGTAAATATGAGTCAGTTGCCAAGCATCTGAATTTCGATCTTGTGACTGTGAGAATGCTGCAATGGTCATAAATGTGAAAAACGGTCGTAAGTCACTTTTTTCAGTGTCATTGTAACTTTGAACAGTCACTAAATGAACTATTGACCTGGGCTCAATTATGATTGTAAATCACGGACAACCTGCAATAGATTTTGCAACCAGATCTTTGTGGAGGAGCATCAGTGACACAGTTTTCCATTTACCTGCCTCTCTCCTGCTGCTCAGTAGGGGGTTAAGGAGCTTGGGAGGTTTGGCTATTTCTAGCTTTTTTTGAGGCTCTCTCCTTTCCCCCTCTCCCCCCTTTCTTTTGGGGCTGCTGTGAAAGTCAGCACGCACCCTTAAAACAGAGGGCTCCAGTTCATTGTCCTTGGCTCTCATTATGTGAAGACACCTACCATCAACAATAATTCTGCAGATTAGCCATCAGCAGACAGTGATTTGGATTGACAATTGCGCAGTCAGCACTGGGCATGATGGCGAGGTGTACCTGATAGGCCAGAGCCTGGGTTTGTTACTGCTTATGTGAGCTTATGTCCCCAGTGCATCAAGTGGGAAACAATTTTGAACAACTGCTTCTCAAAAAGATTGGGACAGTTGGAAAAGTGAGAGTATGTACAACGCCTTTTTCACAGCATTTGTTTTTCCCCCCCCCAAGATCCAATGATCAGAGCACTGTTTTCAGGATGAAGTAAACTTAGACCAGACTTTTTGGCAGTGTTTATTGATTGCTTTTTTAAAAAAACAAAAACAAGTTTCTACACTTGACAACTCCAGAATGACCTTGGAAGGCTTCACAGATTAGGAGAACATAGAAAAGAAGCCATGTTATATCAAAAGAACAATAGCAAAACAGCCTCTTTAACATCTGCAGACTAAATGGTCATGCAGGCATCCTAACCCAAGGCCTGACCAAGGTTTTAGGTTTTGCCTGAAAGCAGATCCTCTGCAGGTGCTACCCTTCCACCTTCTCAATAACATTCTCTAGAACAGGGCTTTTCAACCTTTTCACCCATTGTGCCACTTTTAGGATATGGCAATATCCGAGTACCACCAGTTGCCCAGCAAGCTGTCAAAAACTTGATGACCCCCTCCCAAAAAAGGAAAAAAGTGATAAAGTGCAGGTAGTCCTCGACTTACAACAGTTCGCTTAGTGACTGTTTGAACTTACAATGGCACTGAAAAATGTGCCCTCCAAGCCACAGCCGAGCAAGACACCTGCCTGTCCACCAGTGGCGCTCTTCCTCCTGTCCGAGGTTTTCATTGTTGTAAGATTTTCTGTTGAGGATTGGCAGCGGGGGTGGGGTGGGGGGTGTTTAGTTTTTATTCCCCCCTCTGCTGGGTGGTTGCAGCAGGTTTTGGTCACTTAACATGACCCTGGGACACTGTGACCGTCATAAATATGAATCGGTTGCCAAGCATCTGAATGTAAATCACAAGACCCTGGAGATGCTGCAACATTCCAGCTGATCGGCGCTTCTTCTGGGCTCAGCATATGCGCCAGGATCAGCGCTGAGCTCCAGCTGGAGCCTGGCGCTGATCCTGGTGCTTCCACTGAGCCCTGACAGTCCCGAAGAAGCGCTGATCCTGGTGCTTCTGCTGAGCTCTGACAGCCCTGCAGCTCCAGCCATCTTTCGCTCAGGCTTGTGCAGCTCATTCCCCTCCCCCACTACCACTTTTCTAGGATGGTCGCGTACCACCTGCCAGATGCCAATGTGCCACAGGTGGTAACCGTACCACTGGTTAAAAAGCCCTGCTCTAGAAAGGGGAGGTTGAACAAAAATTGTCCAGGGCTCTTGGTTCAGCAGTGGCTTCTTGAGGAGAAGATGCACCACCAGCACCCCCTTCAAGGTTGATGGAACCATCTCATCTCTCAAGAGGCCAATACCACCTCAGGGACTATAATGTAATATGAGATGACCATGGAAGATGGGGAGAAGGGAAATGTTGCCTACAGCAGTGGTCCCCAATCTTTTTGGCAACAGGGACCAGTTTCATGGAAGACAATTTTTCCACAAACTGGGGGGGGGGGAGGAGTGTGCGAACTAGATCCTCGTCATGTACAGTTTCATTCATCTGCCCCTCACCTCCAGTACCAGTCCATGGCACAGGGGTTGGGGACCCCTGGCATAGAGAATGATCAGATAAAAGGAGGAGGAACTCACATCTGAGTAACAGGTAAAGAAACCTAGAAAGGATCCGCTCTAACTAATCAGATGGTAAAAGTAGATAGTGGGAGAGTTGTACTTTCAGCCTGGCAAGAGAGATGTCAATCTCCCAAGTAGACCAAACAGAATAAAAATAAAAAGATGAGCTAAATCTACTTTATTGCAATGCCACAGTAACAGAATCTTGCATATTTAAAACTACAAGTGTCTTCATTTAATTGCTTTCCTTGCTGTCATTTTGGGCATACAAATTTTGCCCTGTCTATGAATTATTGCTGTGAATTATTGCTTGTGCAAGTTGGCACTTGAAGCTGAAATTACCCTTCTACTGTACTTTAGATTAGACTCCAATTCAGATTTTTTTGGGAGGGGGGAATGAGTGGGGTTCTCTTTGAGCCTCTCCCTTTGTCTTTTGCACAAAAAGAAATTTTAGACACAATGGGGGAGTTCAAAAGACACTTTCTGCACTTCGGCATTCAAACTCAAGCTGTACCTATAGTACTTAGGCACAGGGGAAAGTTTTTGACATCATGAATAAATGAATGCAAACTCTATTTTGCACAAATGATAGCCATTTGATCTCTTATGGCCATTTAATATAAGGGCAAGGCTATCTATAGAAGATATTTTGTAAAAGTGCCTGTAATTGCAAATATATCCGCTGGCTTCAAAGATCTGTTTATTTATTCCAGGCATTTTAGTAGCAACATTTGACTTAGAAGGCAACAGGGAAAGAAGGCGAAGAAATAATAAAATTGCATTAAGATTTAAGAGGCAATTGGGAAATTTGTGAAGCCAAACCATAGGGAAAATTAGCATTTTAACAAAGGTTTCTTGTGGAGTAAATGTTAAAAGCTACAGATAATGGGAAAATCTGTATAAAAAGTCTGTTGAGGAAACTTTACCAAATGAAAACATGGATTTTCCAGTCTATTTTTAAAATAAAATTCCATAAAGCAAATTGATAGACTCAATACCACTTTGCTAATATAGTTGGTAAAAACAGACTTGACTTACATTTACATGTATATTCTAGCTTAGGTTTGAGCAAATGCAACACAATAGGCCCTGTCCTTCAGAACCGGTTTCTAAGTAACTACCGTTACAGTGGTTAAGAGTATCTGATGGCGGTGCTTTATGCTAGAGATGGTTGGTAGAAGGATAGAGAAAAATTTGTATTCTTGGTTTTTAGTCTTTATCTAATTCTTGGTCATTTTAATGTTTTTATATGTATTGCTTTATTGTATTGTAAGTGTCCCAGAGTCACTTTGAATAGTGAGATAGGTGGCAAATTTAATAAGTAAATATATATAAATAAAAATTATGCTTCTTTGATTTTCTCTCTCTCTTTAGACTCCTGTTCTCCAGCAAGAAACATGGAACAAGTGAACTGACGTGAACTCCCATTCTGGTGAGCCTTTCGTCTGATGTAGGGGTGGGTGAGTGGATGGAACACACCACTGGTCTTGGGTAGGGGGCATAGAAAATGGCTCTGAAGGACAGACAGAAAAGCCACCACCACCACCCCCCCCCAAGTGGGACTTTAGTCTATTCCAGGAAATATCTCAGACCAGCTCCCCTTAATTTATACAAAGGTAAAGGACATTCTGACTTGCAAGATTCTGTTCCTAAAATTGTTATAAAAAAGTAGTTTTAGATCTATATGGCATTGGTTTCTTGATCTGGGCTATCTTATAGGGCTGACAGGGAAAATAGAAGCAGAGATAGGTGTCCTCCATCTTTAGAGAGTTGGAGTTAAGAGGTTTAAAGATGAAATGAATCATCCAGATCTGGAGGAAGATAATTTTAAGAACCCTGTCAGAGCTTCCATCTGTTTCTCCAGGGTTGTGAGTTATCAAATTTAGGAGAGTCTGCATCCTCAAAGCTGCTTTTTTGCAGTCCTGAGAATTCTTCCCAACCTGTATTATGGGAAAGTCATGGCAAATTTTCCCCTGTGGGAAACCCTTGAAATAAATATCGCTTTGCTTGTTATTTTCCACTTGATTTCATCCAGCATCACCCCTGCTTCATCTGGATAGAAGTGGTGGAAACTTCTTGGGGGCAAAGAGAGATTGTGGGGTCTGCATTGTAGAATCTCTCACTGCCACAAAAAACAGCTTGTTCATAGAGGCCACCGTAATTTGCAAAGTAACAATAAGTTGAATTTGCAAGGCTGTGCCCCTTTCTGTGCTTTTGACCTACAGGCAATTCATGAGAATCTATCGTGTATGTGTTTGACCAAGTTATTGTCTGCCTACGTTTCTATGCTATTACTCTCCCATTACTAATGAAGGGCTGCTGTTGGCAGGTGCCTTTGGGGTCCTTGTCATTCTGAATTAGGATATATCTTCAGCTCTGCTTATTTCTCCTACAGTCTTCGCTGCTCCATGGTTACAACCCTCGACTTAGCTGCGGGAACTCTCTAGATACAATTCTATTCTTGCTTTTGTTCCCTCTACCTTCTGAAGGCAGGAAAGGATTCTGGCCACAGTCCAAAATCCCCAAATTTATCCAAAACCAGAATAAGATCCCCCATCCAATAGGGTTTGACCTTTATTGCCTTGAGTAAGGTTAATATCTTAGGACAGGAGTCTGCAACCTTGACAACTTTAAGACTTGTGGGCTTCAGCTATGCTGGCCGAGGAATTCTGGGAGCTGAAGTCCACAAGTCTTAAAGTTGTCAAGGTTGCAGACCCCCTGTCTTAGGACAATCCAGATCTGCCTGGGGTTTGCATTGCTTTGATTTGTAGGGAGAATTAGTCCTTGCTTCTTTGGGTCCCTCCCTTTTTATTCCTTCATGATACTCCCAAGAGAGATCAGAAGGCATCTCCTTCTATTTCCTTGGATTGTGGGGAATATTGTCCAGCTGGCAAGATGTTCTCTTTCCCCAACTTTCAAAAATGTTCGGTCATAATTCCATTTTCTCTGGAATACCTCTTGAGTTGAAAGCTCAGCTACCAAAGAGATTGGGTTGACCCGGGAAACTCTTCTCCTTTATTCCTGAACCTTCACAGCCCTTTTTGGAACCTTTATGAATGTCTGCAGATAAATGAGGGAAGCCCAGTCTCCCTGCAGGCTCATTTCCTGTGGTTTTGCTCAGTCAAAACTTTGCAGAACACGGCCTTGTGTGATGCAGAAATGTTTGTGGAAGTGTCATCAGTCACACTCTGAAAAGGCAGTGTTGGAAGCCAGGACTAAGCCAGGACTAGGATATGTTACTATTCCAAGCTCTGGCAGCTGCAGTAAATCTTAGACTAAGATAGACTAAGATTTATTGCAGCTGCCAGAGCTTTGCATGCAGCCTTTAAAAACTGCAGTCTCTCATTTTTGGGGTAAGCAGGGGGAATCAGTATTTTTTTGGGGGGGGGATAATTACATGTAATCCTTGACTTATGGCCAATTGCTAAGTGATGTTGCCATTAAGCAAGTGATCATGTGACTGGATCCAATTTTATGACCATTTTACCATGGTCATTACGTGAACCATATGGTTGTTAAATGAATCACACTGTGGTTAAGCGAATCTGGCTTCCCCAATTGACTTTGCTTGTTGAAAACGTGTCATTCAGCAAATGTTGACTGTAGGCCTAAATGTTTTATGCTTTTTCCTGTTTTGGTGGAGCATGTTCCACCTGGAAAAGGTTTGGCCCCCTGGCTTTGTTTGGAAGGGGTCTGGTGGTGCACTTCCTGCTCCCTGGTGCACCCACCGGGTATCCCTGACCTCTTTGGGTTCACTCCGAACCTTTCTAAATATTGTTTGTGATCCATAGCTTTTCTCCACAACACAAATGCCTTCTCTTTGGGCTGATGTGCCAAACAGGTTGCCATGCAACCAACAGACAGCAGAAAGACAGACTAGGATGGGGGGGGGGAAGCCCAACTGAATTCAGCTGCACTTGAAAAAAACAAAGCCAGAAGTGTGTTTTTCCTCCTTTGCTCCTCATGTTGAATTGCACTGTTGTCTTCTCAGCTCTGTGGCCACCATCATCCCTGCCTTTTTCCGACAAGGAAATCTTACAGACAGAAGGGAAGAAACAGCCTTCTCTTCCCCTCTCCAGGTTCTGATTTCTCCTGCCTCTTTAGTTATTCTTTACTAAGCAAATTCTATGTGCTTATTGTATGCAGGTAGTCCTCGACTTACAACTGTTTGTTTAGCGACTATTCAGAGTTACAGTGGCACTGAAAAAAGTTATGACTGACCCTCACAGCATCCTCATGGTTGCATGATCAGTATTTGGGTGCTTGGCAACTGGCATGTATTTACGACGGTTGCAGCATCCTGGGTCATGTGATCGCCATTTGTGACCTTCCCAGCCAGCTTCTGACAAAGTCAATACTGGAAGACAGATCTGCTTAACGACTGTATGATTCACTTAACAACTGCAGTGATTTGCTTAAAAGCCGTGGCAAAAGAGGTTGTAAAATTGGGCACGATTCACTTAACAACCATCTTGGTAGCAAAGAAATTCTGGTCCCAACTGAGAATTGTAAGATTTTAATTTTAATTATTTTAATTTTAATTATTTTAATTTTAATTTTGTTTGAATTTAATGCACTGTATTGGTCATTACAGTTCAATTTTGGGTACACCCCAGGAACTACTATGTCGATTTTATTTGGTTTTGTTAATTTTATTTTATTAAAATTAGGGAAAAGAAAAACCTAGCCTTCTGCGAATACAAACATGCCGGCTGCTGCAATTCGAACATTGCAAAAGGGTATCATCCACATTTGACACTGAGTAACAGCAAAATCTAATATTAGTGGATTGATGAAAAAAGTGGTTTAAGGAAACTTTATTGTAGCAAACTATGGCATTGTGTAAGGAGTGAACATAGACTCCGGTTAAGCCAGGATATAATTTCTTTGGCTTAAATCTAGTATGATATGGGAAACTATCCATTGCAGTTTGCAAACTTTAGTGTATGGTGCCACTTGTTATATGAATCAAATTAGTCGGAGAGGTTATTCAGTAAACTATGGTTAAACACACCAGGTTTCTTTCTTTCTCTTTCTCTCTCTCTCTCTCCGCTCTGGCAACTGATGCCCAGCAATGGGTTGTGTGCAATGCAAGAAAAAGAAGGCCAACCAAGCTCAGAGGAACAGCAACGATGGAACCATTAACCCACCGCCCAACTCCTGCTACGATCCTGACTCCTCAAAGCAGACCCCTCCCAACTTCGCCCGCATCCCAGACTTCAACAACTTCCCAGGGACACCGGGGCCTGTGACTCCAGCTAGTCCTGGGGGTTCCGGGCTCTACCCAACACCCTCCATTCACATGCCAGCCATGGGGATCACAGGTCAGTCTTTGCCCTGGCCAGGGAAAGCTTGAGGTTTTTCCTTCTCCCTCTTTTTCAGTTGGTTTAGTGCAAAGTTCCCCAACCTTTCCGGGTTGGTGGCCCGGAGAGAGGGAGAGGGGAAGGAGGGGATGGTTTTGTGGGAGAGGCACCCACTGCTCACAAGACCCGTGACGCTCGCACGAGTGAGCCCCGAGCGCTTGCAATGCTCATACAATTGGGGCCCCGAGCACTCATGACACTCACGAGTGGGGCCCTGACCACCTGCGATGCTCACACGAGTGGGGCCCAAAGCGCCCATGACCGTCATGAGGGCCTGAGCACCTGCGACACTCATGTGAGTGGGGCCCCGAGTACCCGTGACACTCATGCGAGTGGGGCTCAGAGCACCTGTGACATTCGTGTAAGCGGAGCCCCAAGCGCTTGCAGTGCTCATGCATATGGGACCCCAAGCACCCGTGATGCTCATATAAGTGGGGCTGTGTGTGCGCATGCACATGCACCAGCCAGCTACTCACATAGCCCGGTTGCAAATAGGCCACAGATTGGTAGTGGGCTGTGGCCCACAGGTTGGGGACCCCTGGTTTAGTATTTCAGAAGAGTGTATGACAGGTAAGGTCATATTTTCAAAGTGATTATTTGTTGTTAGTCCAAATCAGTCCTTTGCTGGATGAAGGCACTTGGAAATTGGGCATGTATTTACGACAGTTGCACTGTCTTGTGGCCATGTGCTCATCATTTGCAACCTTCCAGCTGGCTACTGACAAGCAAAGTCAGTGGGAGAAGCCAGATTTGCTTAAGCGACCGCATGATTCACTTAAAAACTAAAGTGATTCACTTAACAACTTTGGCAATAAAGATTGCAAAATGGGGCAAAACGCACTTAACAACTACCTTGTCTAGCAATGGAAATTTTGAGCTGGATTATGATTATAAGTCGAGGACAATTTGTACAATTTTACAAAACACCCAAACATTGGAAGGAGAAGCAACCATTAAAAGACAATGAGATTTGCAAGACGTGTCCTCCATGGTCACTGAAGGCTGTGGGTCAAGATCTGCCACCCTTGTCCAAGTGTATTTAGGCTGAGAGAGAGCAATCAAGTAGGCTTCTGGATCTAAGAGAAGGAAAACCTGGGTCCTGGAATCCTGGTCCAACACCTTCACTCATGCGCTGTCTTTATAGGTGGTCCTGGGCTTACCACTACAATTGAGGCCCAAATTTCCATTGCTAAGCAAGGCAGTTGTTAAGTGGCCCCGTTTTATGACCTTTATCGCCAGAACTATTAAGTAAATCACTGCAGCTCTTAATAAATCACAGCAGCTGTTAAGCAAATCATGAGGTCATTAAGTGAATCTGGCTTTCCCTATTGACTTTTTTTGTCAGAAGCCAGCTGGGAAGTTGTCACATGACCCTGGCATGCTGCAACCGTTGTAAATACAAACCAGTGCACCCCAATTTGGATCACGTGACCATGGGAATGCTGCAATGGTCATAAGTGTGAAAAACAATCATAAGTCATTTTTAGTGCCACTATAACTTTAAACGGTCAGTAAACGAATGGTTGTAAGTCAAAGATTATCTGTATTTTTATATGATATGATATTATTATAGTATAGTATAGTATAGTATAGTATAGTATTACATTACATTATTATTTTCACATTCCATTATATTATAGTATTATTTTATTATTATTTATTAGATTTATATGCCACCCATTTCTTTACTTGTGGGTTGAGAGGAAGGGACTGGCCCAAAGTCACTCAAGCAATTTGTGTGGCTGAGAGCAACAGAATCTGGCTCTCCCACTCCTAGCCTAGCACCTTCCTACACTTGTTCATTTGTTACTTTTAAAAAACTATTCTCTAATAATAGTAATGGGAGCAAAGTGGGAAGTCTTTTCATTTTTTCCTCAAAGGAAAGGGGAATCAAAGGTCAATGAAGGTCTTATGGATAAGGTGTGGACATCTGGTGGTTTTAAATTTCCCATCTTTTATTATTACCTGCCTGTAGTCTGCAGTCTTCCTACTTTCCTACACTTGGGTTAAATCCCAAGTCAAGACATTATGAGGGAACTTCCTCGGGGCTTACTCAGTCTGGGAAATGAAGGCAGCGAGGAGGACTACAGACTGACGGAGAGACCTGTAAGCAAAACCAAACATCCCCCAAACAGTAGCACTCATGGGCACTGTGTAAAAATAAAATAATAAAATAAGCTGGGGAACTGAGAGGAAGAACTTCAGAAGCACATCTAGTAGAGAAGAACATTTTCAATCCATTGGAAGACACTGTGACTTTTCACCATCTCTGTCCAACCATTCAAGAAAGTGGAGCATTGAGGGCCTTCTATGGACTTAGGATGCCATAAATGGCAATGTATCCAAGGCTGAGTTTTTCCTGCACAGCTTCTTTTGGTCCCTTTTTCTTTCTTTCTTTCTAGGTGGAGGAGTGACCCTTTTTATTGCCTTGTATGATTATGAAGCCAGAACAGAAGATGACCTGACATTCATCAAGGGAGAGAAATTCCACATCATCAACAACACGTGAGTGTTGGGTTTGGACATGATGGGAACACAGGACATCTTCCTTACCAAAGCTAAGCAGCATTGACTTTCTGGATGGGAACTACCAAGCAATGTACATTGCTTTCAGTTTCTTCACGGGAAGCGTGGGCAGGATATTAATAAAGAAACAGCCACTCTCAGTCTTAGGAGGTCAACAGGCCCGGCCTCCTTTAACTTCTGTCTGTGGAATTGCACACCTGGGATAACTATGGGCTGAGCTTAACTCGATTACGCATGTGTATATGGTTATGTCCATGTGCAAAACAATAGTGTGGGATTTTCAGGGAAATCTCTGCTCATCTTGCTTGCACAGAGTTCACTGTCGATTCAGGGCACACTGCAGGTGTGAAAAGAAGGCAGACCCCAAGGGGTTTTTGGCCAATTAGCCCAATATGGTCCACTCTTGACTGACAGTAATGCAATAAAAGGTCAATTTTATTGACTTTTTGTTCTTTTTGATGGAGCTGCTCTCTGGATTCTGTACCCTTTTGCTGGTGAAACTCTAAGCAGGGGATCACTGACGTTGTGTTTTCCCCCTCTTTTTTGCTACAGAGAGGGTGACTGGTGGGAGGCACGCTCCCTGACTACGGGAGCCACCGGCTACATCCCCAGCAATTATGTGGCTCCTGTGGACTCCATCCAAGCAGAAGAGTAAGTACAGGGGGCAGGAAGCAGACTGGAGGGATGTTTAGTGAAATCTGGCAGGTACAGTATACTACAGGCAGGCTGGGGAATTCTGTCTTAAAAGTTGAGAAACGCCGATCCAGAGCATCCCTTCTTTCTTCCCAGGTGGTACTTTGGGAAGATTGGCCGGAAGGATGCTGAGAGGCAGCTGTTGTGCCATGGCAACCCCCGGGGGACCTTTCTCATCCGCGAGAGTGAAACCACCAAAGGTACCACTGGGGTGTCACCCTCCTTCCCTTGCCTTCTGGCAAGCCCTTGGGGGACAGAACCGTGTGTGGTGCTTCCGGATTTTGCCTTCCTAGCTTAGGCTGCTGCCTTCTGGTCTGCAAGAGTCCCATCTAGATCTTGGAGAAAAAGTATTCCCTTGCATTTTTTTTCCTACCTGGTCTCATTAGATTCAGTAATAAAGAAGTTGCTTTAGAAATGTCAAAGAAGATGAGAATGTCAATAATGTAAGTGGAGGGTGGTGTTCCCACACCTGAGCATTATGTCTGTGCTGACTGGGGAATGCTGGTAGTTGAAGTCCATCCATCTTGAGATTGCTGACCTTGAGAAACACTGATCTAAACATAGAAAACCAACACAACAAACAATATAAGGGAACACTATAAATTACTTCTCAAACTCAAAACATAGCATGGACTTTGGTGAATTGCTTTGTTGTAGGGCTGCACGCTCAGAGTCTGCTTCTACCAGGGTGAATATCGTGGTTCCAGGCCGGACCACCCAGTGAAAAGACAGATTTAGAACAAGAGAGAATCTATTGGTGCAGGGGGGCGAGGGGCTTTGAGACTTCTTGTGGGGTTCCAGTGTTGGGGGAAGTAATAAGCCTTCTCTAAGCAAGGTGGTCTTAATCAGGATTGGGGAGGGGCACATTTATACAGGGGTAAACAAAAACAATATGAACTCCCTTTCCTCTAATTAAATAAATGGTGTATGGAGAAATACTTGGAGCTTAATTGGAAAGGCGTTTGGTAAACACTGAGCCACTGTGAAAAATGTTTATTTCCAATTTGTCCCTGTCTTGCTACCAATTGCAAATTGAAGTAGGGCTCCCGATATTGATGGATGTTTTGGGGAAGAATATTTGGGATAAAGATATTCTTTAAAGTATTCAGGTTGCAAATCTTTTAGGGTTTTACTGTCAGGCACAAGCAATCAAAACCTCTTGTTAATAGTCTCAAGCAAAAGCTTTAGTGTTAATCACCTATGTTAAGAATCTCACCAGACTGACTGCATTCCCTTGGGAAGGTTAGTTAAGACTTCGGTAATTCTGGGGGAGTCAGACTTGTGTTGCTTTCTACAATGCAAGGACTCTTAGCTAGGCTCCCTCTTAACACCTCCCTCTATCTAGCTGAAGATTCCACCATATCTACAAATTAAACAAACATGGAAGAACTTTCTTGCGTTAATTATACTGTAAGTCTACATCAGACTGAAGGGCACAGGAGTGATTTCCAACATTCTCTAAAATGTTGTCACCTTCTATAATCTATTACCTGAACTCCTCATTTGGGGAGGCAAGGAATATGTTGACCATCCAAGTGAGGTTAAACTACAATCCCCAGCATGGCTTGCAGTTGGCCTCCCTGGCTAAAGCTTCTGTGAATTGGAATTCAGTAGTAATGCCAAAGTCAGGTTGCCTTCACACAACCCATTTCTGCTTCCCATCTCCTTTTCCTAGGTGCCTACTCATTGTCTATCCGGGATTGGGATGAGATGAAGGGAGACCATGTCAAGCATTACAAGATCCGGAAGCTGGACAGTGGTGGCTATTACATCACCACCCGGACCCAGTTTGACACCGTGCAACAGTTGGTGCAGCATTACAGAGGTAAAGAGCGATGGATTCAAGAGAGGGGCAGGTGTTAAGATTGGTAAAGGAAAGATCAACATGCCAACCTTTCAAAGTTGTCCAGATTAGGAAAGAGACTCCACAAGAAAACTAGAACTAAGCTAATCATTGCAAGTCTGATTATGTTTTTCCTCTCCTCCCTCTTGTACTCTAATGTGATGCTTCTCAACCTTGCTGACTGGAGAATTCTGGAAGTTGAAGTCCACACATCTTATAGCCACCAGGGTTGAGAAACACAGCTCTAATGAGTCAGGGAAGAGTCAGCCTGAGCATCTTCCTCATCTTTCCCAGAACTCAAGGAATTTTTTCACCCTTTTTTGTTTTTTTGTACAGCTTCTGAATATTTTTTCCAAAGCCATCTCCATGGCTCTTTATAGCAAGAGACTGGCAGGAGAACGATGGAAGATCTGGTGCCAACTCCTGCATTTGGGGCTCCTCCTTGGGATATTTTGAGGCTGGTTGTGGAATGCTATTTAATTAATTAAGTTTCTTGAGTCCTTTGCCATCAAGATCGTTAGAGGTCCTCTATCGTGGTTCAGGGATAAATCAAGCAGACTGAAGTTGCACACGTCCTATGCTAAAAAGTGGCTCAAGGTTTATGCCTAAGAATGTTCTGCAACCAATGAGGCTGTTTTGGCTGTTTCGGGCTTTGTGCAGCCATCAGGACCCAATTCCAGCAGAGCGAATGATTTTTAAAAATGGATTCAGGAAAAGATGAAGTTCCAACCATCTTTTCTGTTGTAGTCTCAACCTGGATTTAGCCAGGGTTCTGTGGCTAGTAAATCAATACAGGTAGTCCTCGACTTACAACAACCATTGACTTTGATTGCAGGAAGCCAGGTGGAAATTGCCTTGCCTAACACTGAGGGAATTCAGTTAATGACAGCAACCGGGACTAGAGGAATTACTGTTGCTAAGCAGTGCATCCACACTTTATGACAGCATCACTTAGAGATGGAAATTCCGGTCCCAATTGCCATCATAAATCGAGGACTACCTGATCTAGAAGATAGAATAGATAGGACCTTTGAAAATCTTTTGTTAAGTACAGAATTTGGTCAATGTTCCCCTACCCGGAGTTTTCTTTGCGAAAATGTAATAATGGTGATTTCTTTAATAATTTAAATTAAATTTAAAAAAATGAAAGGCACTTTCTAACCTAACAGCCATATTTCATTTATTAAAAAACCTATAAGAGAACACAATATCTGCATTTTCAAACTACATGTCTATCAAATAAACACAGAGATAAATTAGTATCTGATGTATAGAGTATTCAAGGCCACCAGTTATGAGATCTGCTCCTGAAATGCGGTGGTGGAGTCCGCGTTGTCCAACTGATTGCACTAGGTATCTTTTATTCCTCAATTTTATATGAGCCCTGGTGGCGCAGTGGTTAGAATGCAGTATTACAGGCAAACTCTGCTCACTGCCAGGAGTTTGATCCTGACTGGCTCAAGGTTGACCCAACCGTCCATCCTTCTAAGGTTGGTAAAATGAGGACCCAAATTGTTGGGGGCAATATGCTGACTCTGTAAACCCCTTAGCACTATGAAGCGGTATATAAGTCTAACTGCTATTGCTATTGCTATGACTTTCACAGAACTGGGAAGGGGTGGTGGAAATGGGAAACCTAATAACTGCAGCTGTTTTATCGCCCTTTCAACAGGTGTGTAATGAGGCTCCGGTCCTCTGTTGCTTTCTGCAAGGACTGATAACTCTCTCTGAGCTGCGGATTGGGGGGGGGGGAGAACAGTGTTTCCTCTCTTGTTCCTTTCCAGTTCGTCCTCATCTTATCACCCTTTGTTTCTCTCTTTTGCCTCCCTGCTTCTGTGATGCATCTCTTGCTCTTCCACCTCTTCTCCCCCTCGGTTTTGGGGGCTTCTGTTGCAAGAGAGAGCTGCAGGATTGTGCTGCCGCCTGGCCGTGCCATGCCCTAAGGGGATGCCCAAACTGGCAGACCTGTCCGTCAAAACCAAAGACGTTTGGGAGATTCCTCGCGAATCGCTGCAGCTCATCAAGAAACTGGGCAATGGGCAATTCGGGGAAGTGTGGATGGGTACGACCAGCCATCAGGAGGCTGTGCGGAAGAGAAGAGGAAGAGAAGGAGCTGGGGAGACCCCGGGCGCTCGGGAGGGGACTTGGTAGTGCTGTGATAAAGGATGGAGAAAAATCAGTCTTTCTCCCGGGATGGCTGCGTTTCTTTCAACATGGCAAAGTCATGAGGCAGACGAACTGGGGAGAAGCTGCAAGATGAATTACAGGAAGTCCTTCAGACAATAGGTAGTTAAACAACGGAACTCGCTGCCACAAGAGGTAGGGATGGCTGCCAACTTGGAAGCCTTTCAAAGAGAGATAAATCCACAATAGAAAGAGTTGAATAGTGTTTATGAATCCTGGATCTCTTTCTAAGCTCCAGCATGAGAAGGAGCACATGTCTCTGATTACCAGAGGGGAGAGCGTTATTATAACCATGTGCTACTTGTGGGTTTCTTAACCCAGGGCATCTGGATGGCTTCTCCGGTAAGAAGAGAATGTAGAATTTGATAGGGATTTGGTCTGAGTTGGGGCGACTCTTCTTAAAAGTCTTGGAAGTGGTCCAGATGGTGCATGGTGATCTACGTTAAAGCAGTGACTGGTCTGGGACCAGGGGACATTCTGCCTCAATTTTCTATGCTACAATGTTAGATCTGTATTCTGAACAAGATTTTGAAAATAGCCTGTAGCTGAATCCAAAGGTGACCAGGACACCGTAGTGGAGACTTTAGCTGACAAGTCAGACATGTTCCAAATTCACTGTTCAACATTTGCAATGAAGATGCAGGAATGTAGTGCAGTCCTTGGTGTTTAAAAGTGAGCCAAGGGCACCACCTGGTGGTTGAAAGCAATATTGCTGCCTGTGCTCTGCTCCTTCTCCTCCTCCGCTCAAAGTCCAGCCTCCTCTCTTGGGTGCATGCTCCATCCATCATTCTGCTTTCCCATCTCATTCCATCCCATCTTTCCACCCTCCCTCATTCCACCCCTTACAGAATTCAATGACGGTCTCTGCTACCTCTTAACCAAAGTCTGCCCCACCCTGAGGCCCCAGACTATGGGGCTGTCTAAAGATGCGTGGGAGATCGGGCGCGAGTCCATCCACTTTGACAAGAAACTTGGCATGGGCTGTTTCGGAGATGTGTGGATGGGTAAGGCAAGGGGTCAGGGTGGGTTTTTTTATCAGGGTTAGAGGGCACACATGGATGAGGTGGGCAGCCTTCCCTGGAGAAGGGCTCCTTTTAGGCTCGGACTGTGCTTGAAGATCATTGATTAGACCAGGGGTCTTCAAACTTGGCCCTTTTATGACTTGTGGACTTCAACTCCCAGAATCCTCAGCCAGGCATGCTGGCTGAGGAATTCTGGGAGTTGAAGTCCACAAGTCATAAAAGGGCCAAGTTTGAAGACCCCTGGATTAGACCCATCAGAAGATGAATTTTACCTCTCTATTTCATTTAGGGGAACACCCTAGGGTTGTATAGTGCAGGGGTCCCCAACCCCTGTTCCATGGTCCAATACCGGGCTACGGCATGCCAGCAACCGGTCTGCACAAACAAGCAAAGCCCCATCGGTGGGATGCAGGCAGCCCACAAAACCACACACTATCTGTGGAAAAACCTTTCTCCACGGAACCGGTCCCTCATGACCAAAAGGTTGTAGTGCATTAGACTCAGTTCCAAGAAGGTGCTTTAGAGCTTGCAGAAGCGTAACCCCCATCTGCAACTCTTTACAGCAGCCACATCTTTTCTCCAGAGGATGTGGTTATCATCTGTCTTAACAGCATATCTTTCTCTCATCAAGGTTGGCATATATTCCTTTCTCACAGACTGAAAGTGGAAGACCTATATAAAATACTACGGGGCAGAATTCCTGGTCTAGATACCAGCCTGTCACTCGGATCTACTAAGATCCACAGTTAGAGAATAAGTTGAGTGTTCGTTAACATGAGGTCTCTTACATGCAGGGAGTCCTCCACTTATGACGAGAAATGGGATCAGAATTTCTGTTGCTAAGCGAGTTGTTAAGTGAGTTATGACCTTTTTTGGTCATAGTTGTTAAGTGCATCACTGCAGCTGTTAAGTAAATCATGCAGTTGTTAAGCAAGTCTGGCTTTTCCCACTGACTTTGTCAGAACCCAGCCGGGAAAATCCCAAATTATGATGACATCACTCCAGGATGCTTTAACTTCATAAATATATGCTTGTTGCCAAGCATCCTGATTTAGATCACATGACCAGGGGATGCTGTGACAGTCGTAAGTGCAAGAACTGGTCCTGAGTCACTTTTTTCAGTGTCATTGCAAATTTGAACAGTTGCTGAATGAATGGTTGTAAGTTGAGTAATATCTGAACAAGTGCACAATTATTACACCTGTAAAAACGCAACCAACCAATAAAGTAGCTCTTGCCAGATAAGACCAGTTTTGAAACCTGAACCTTAAGAAGGATGCACACAAACTCCCTTTTTACGACCCTGTAATCCCTTAATTCGGGGTATAGTCGGGGCGACCGGGTGGAGCTGAGCGTTTTCTGGATGGATGCCCTTCCTGACACCACACAGAGTTCGCAGCAGATATTTCGTCTTTGTGCCCTGATAGAGAAAACATCTGTTGCTGCCTAGGACTGAACTTTCAACCTTCTGAATGGGAAGTGAGCATCTTTAGCATTAGGCCACCATGCCTAATGCTAAAGGAAAGGAAATGTCAGCTGTGGGAAATGATTTCTTTTGAATTGAGCTCCTCAGTGTGGAGACATCCCTGACCCATCATTTCTTTCTCATCTCATGTTTGTTGCTCATCTCATTTCAATTGTTAGGGTCAGCCGTCCTTAACGTTGTGCTCCCAAGATGATTTGGGGGAATTCCAAGGATCATGGACCAGCTTAGACCTGCTGGCTAGAGATTCTAGGAACTGAAGCCCCAATGCATCTGGAGGGCCCTGGGTTGCAGGATGCTGAACCTAGACTTCTTCCAGCCATATCTGTTTCCATAACATTGGGTTAGGGGAGGTCTTGGGTTCTGGGCCCCTGCTGTCTCTATCCTCAGTGACCCTGACCCTGGTTCTTGCTGGTTCCAGGCACTTGGAATGGTACCACCAAAGTTGCGGTGAAGACGCTGAAACCTGGAACCATGTCTCCAGAAGCTTTCCTGGAAGAAGCCCAGATCATGAAGCGCTTACGGCACGACAAACTGGTGCAGCTGTATGCTGTGGTGTCGGAAGAGCCCATTTACATTGTTACTGAGTTCATGAGCCAAGGTTAGATAAGCTGCTTCCAGTGACAGCAACCTCTCTAGATGGGTGGGTGGAAACAGTGGCCAACCAGCAGGCCTCTGTGAATTGGGTGAAGTAGGAAGTGTTGGTTCAATTCAACCATCAAGTCGGTTTGATCCAAACTATTGAGTCACTTCGGGAATTTGATCCAGTGGCTTGAATTTGTTCACACCAATTGTCCAAATCAAGCATGTTTTTTAGATGTTAAAAGAGCTTGTGCGCATTCGGCAACAAGAGTTGTCCAAATGCAAGTTAATTTAGGGAGACTTGATTGAAGAAAAAAAAACTGAATTGCCTTCAAACTGAATAGCTGCCCAGGGCTACCAAAATGATACCTGAGCTTGGAGGGTTAGGATCAGAAAGATGCCCAGGGTCCAGACAGTTGACTCAGAATGAAGGGCATGTGTAGGCCCACTGACATTAAGCAGATCTAGAACCCACCCACTAACCTGGATGGAAGACCACATGTTAGGAACATCGTGTTATCAAGGCATGTGGGTGATGGAGACAGCAGCAGTATGGAGAGGGCCATGAACCACTTTCTCTTCTAAGATCACCCTACCCAAGGTATGTTTCTTTCTCAGGAAAGGGGAAATGATACAGCATAGGCAACATGGTACCTGTGGGCCTCAGGATGTTTTTAGGTATCCCTTTCATCTTCTGTCAGGTGCCTTAAAATACTGAATTACTTTCTTTTTATTAAAATTAAATAGGAACCTGGCACCCTGCGAAGGGACACAGCATCATTATTTGTAGCAGTGTCATCCTTTCAACATCAGTCCTGTGAAAATTCTAGAGTCATAAAAACAGTTTGTGCTCCAGTTTCATGCTTGTGCTGCACTTGACCTTTAAGCCCCATCCTTCCTTCAGCCTCCCACTCCCAGGAGAGAAGAGAGGGGCAAATTCAGGGTGCTGAAGAGCAGATTCAACCGTTGAATTTCCGGTTTTTCAGCCTCCATGCTCATTATGCCAGACGTTTTGGCAAGCTCTCAGGATTCCAAATGGATCCACCCGTCTGAGAACATACTCACCTGTATACTAGCTCACATTCCTTCACCTGGTACCCTCCATTGTTACCAGACTTCTGGAGCTTGGCCTGATGGGGAATGGGTTTCCAGTGTTTTGTCTCAGATACACAGATCCCGTGTCCTTCACAAAGAATTTATTCTAAGAAGAAGGAACAGGAGGAAGCAGCCAGTTTATCATAGTACAGGAATCCTACCGAGAAGTGGCTTTGCTGATCTCCCACCTCTTCTCTTCTACAGGTAGTTTGCTAGATTTTTTGAAAGATGGGGATGGCCGTTTCTTGAAGTTGCCTCAACTGGTGGACATGGCCGCACAGGTAACCTGATGGGCAGGATGTAGTATCAGTGGTCAGTCTGTCTGAAAATTGGGAGCATCATCTTCTGACTCCGTTGGAGGGAGGGGAGGAGGGAGAAGGCTGCCCAGGATCTGTTAAGAACAGAAGGAGCTGAATGATTGAATCTCCTGTGTCATCTCATCCCTGCCTTTCTGCTTCTGCACACAATCCAGATTGCAGCTGGAATGGCTTACATTGAGCGAATGAATTACATCCACCGGGATCTGCGTGCTGCCAACATCCTTGTGGGCGACAACCTTGTGTGCAAAATTGCTGACTTCGGCTTGGCCCGCCTCATTGAAGACAATGAATACACAGCTCGCCAAGGTAAACTCTCAGGGGCACCCTGGAGCAGGAGAAAGAGTCACCTTTAAGCAGGCAAAGCTATTTGTGCAATTAACCATTGATTGGCAGATGCTGTCTCTGCTCTTGGGAAGAGAGAGCTTTTCTCGGTGGTGCCGTTTTTAGCAGGAAGTGCCACACTGAAGCTGAGGATTTCTTTGTGCAAGGCTGTCATGCAGGAAGAAATAGGACTGCATGTTAAGCTCCAGTTAATCTTATTTATGGCTCACGCCTATACACAAGAATCTAGTCTACTAGCAGCATTAAATTTGCACTAGGTAAGAATCAATGGCATTCAAAAGGGGTTGGATTTAGACTGTGAAAACAACAACTCCAGGCTGATCACTCTCTTGACTCCGCCCCCCAGGCTGTGCCTGCCCTTCTCTTACAAAGGCAAACAATTCCACTGAGCAATGGCCTCTCTACAGTGCAGGGGGGCAACCAAATGACCTTCAGAAGCCCTTGCTAAAACTTACCTATATCCTTCCTACAATGTGGTGCCTCAGAGCTGAATAAAATGCTAGAAGCAGTCTGAAGTTTGCAGTAGGAGCAGTGAATCTAGAATTGGAAAAATCAGTGGTACTTCCAGAGTGGACCCCGCCACAAATGTCATTAAGATCTGGAAGGATGTGGCTGTCCATCCTAGAGCCCAATGTCAGTCACGTGAAACTGGATTCTCACACTCCAGGTGGCTGTTGTGTAAATCATATCCAGATGCAGACTGGACAACCTTCACAAAATAACAGCTTCCTCCATCCTATATTGAAAACAGGAGAAAGCAAGCAAGAAGTTATTTGCCTTTTTAAAAATAATTTTATTCCATTTTACAAAACTTACACATAAAACAACAGCAATCCAAAGGAACGATAGAATAAAAAGAGAGTAAGGATAGAAGTGTGAAAAAGTATTAAAAAGGACAAGAAAAACACAAACATATAAAAAGAATAACCTGACTTCTTCCAAGGACATAGAGAACAATTACTTTTGACTCTTAGTTTAAGGCTATAATAGTGTCCATTTTTCCCCCAAAAAGAAAAGGGGAAATTAAAAAAAAAAATTTTTTTCTTTCTAAATTTTAACAATCATCAAATCCATGTGGCAAAATTTGATTCTTCTCCATCTTCCGCAAAAAAAAAAAAAAAAGGTCCACAAAGTGCTTACAAGCACAGAGGAATTTCTTCAGTGATTTTTCTCTCATGAGGACTGTTAACTTGGCAAGAATTTTTTTAAATTGTTTGTACATGAGGTTCATATTCAGAAGCGAAAACAGTGATTGGCATGTTTTGTGCTGCCACCTTAGCCTTTTCCCTTCTAAGCCTTACTGGTCAGAGCTCATAGGGACTTGTTCCTTGATTGTCCAGATTGGTGCTTGAGGCTTCTGACAACATAAATTAAGAACACTTTCTCTTGGCTGACTCTGTTTCTCGAGGGAGGAGGCTGGTATGATCTGTGCTAAGAAGTCCATTTTAAATCCACTGGTGATGTTTCTCCCACAGTGGAGAAAGTAGGAGTCTTTCTTACCCAGGTGGCATCTCCTTCTGTATGATCGTAACCTCTTCATTCCATCTCCTTGCCAACAGGTGCCAAATTTCCCATCAAATGGACAGCTCCGGAAGCCGCTCTCTATGGCAAGTTCACCATCAAGTCAGATGTGTGGTCCTTCGGCATCCTCCTGACAGAGCTTGTGACCAAGGGCCGAGTACCTTACCCAGGTAATGTCGGAGAGGCTTCCCTTAGCTTAGGGAGGAACTGTTGCAACATTCAGGGATTGCCAGAAATTTTCTTTGGAAAAGGAATTGCCCCTTGGTTTACATAATGCATTAAACCACAACATGGTTGGGTTGGGTTGGGTCCAGCCCAATATCCAGTCATTGCAGTTGCTGCAATTTTAGCAGCTTTTAGCTTCTTGCATGAGCTCCTGTCTGAGCCTAATCTGCCATGCTTTATTTGATAAACACTGGTTAATCAGCTCCTGACTGAGCAATTTCTACAGGCTTGAAGGCCATCTCGGGATTCATGTGGTTGACTGAGGACTGTATTCCCAAAGTCATTGGGGCCCAGATTCAGAGCTGACCTGATTTGTGTGGAGAAGTGGTTGGGAGGGTAAAGAAGAGATAAAGAGGTTCTTGAAAGCACATATTTTTGGGGTCTCAGAACTTCACAAACTCTGGAAAAATCCCCTCAAAGGCCAAATTTTAGCCCCCTATTCTGTTGGGGTCTGGGGAACACCTATTTTGCATGCTGGAGTCAGTGGGTTGTGTTTTGTGACAACTATGTGTTGTGCCTCTGTGTATTCTCACCTAGCTCCTGCCTTTTTTGTGTGGGTTGACTTACCAAATTTTACAGTCCCTGTGAATTTGCACACTGGTCATTTCCTTGATTTTATTTTTGTATGCGAGTCTATGTGGTTCTGTGCCTCTGAGTCAGTCTTGGCAACAATTTCAAAAGTGATTTACCCTTGTCTTCCTCTTAGAGCTGAGAGGGAACAATTAGCCCAAAGCTGGCTTCATACCTAAGATGTAACTGGAACTCATGGTCTCCTGGTTTCTAGGCTGCTGACTTAACCACTATCCCAAACTAGCTCTCCCTTGATTCCTAGAGAGTCGTAAAAGAGCTATTCCACCACTTTCTCTTCTCATGTTCTTCTCACACAGGCATGAACAACCGGGAGGTGCTGGAGCAAGTGGAGCGGGGATACCGCATGCCCTGTCCTGGGAATTGCCCCCCGTTGTTGCACGATCTGATGGTGCAGTGCTGGAGGAAGGAGCCTGAGGAGCGCCCCACTTTTGAATACCTCCAATCATTTCTAGAAGACTACTTCACTGCTACAGAGCCTCAGTATCAGCCAGGAGACAATCAACTGTAACTGATAGATGGTGACAACCACGGAGAGCTCACCCCATGGGGACCTCTCTCAAGCGTGGTGTGAAACTGGTGTGAAACACACTGCGGAAATCTCTTCCCTAACCAGGGCCAGGAGCCAAGGGTCCCACCTTGTAGAACTGGGCTTAAGACTCCTTTCTTTTTCATTTTAATTTTATTCCCTTTGGGGGGGTGGCATTGCTTTTTTATCATTGTGGTTCTGTGTTTTAAATTTTGACTCATCCCAAATAGATGCCAGGCCAGTTTTTGGAGCTTAAAAAAAAATGGAGATGAGGAGGAGTGAGGGTGTAGATGGCAGGAGGAGAGGTTTTGTTTGTTTAATAGTGCATCCTCTCTTAATTAAGTTACTTCTGTATTAACTGGAGCACCTTTGGCCCTGGGGTGCTCTGAAGGGGCTTTGTACTTCAGCCCCATTGGTGCCAGCCCGCAACAAGGGACTGGGGGAATTGTAGCCCCAAATGCTTGAATGCACCTTTCCCCTAACCCTGCTGCAGCCTACAAGGATAAGGATAGGAAGGCTACAGGGCCATAGGATAAAGATATTTGCACGGTGAAGCTACCTAGCCATCCTGCAACCAGTCTTCTGCAATATAATGTGACTGCATCTCTCAGAATTCACCGGCTTGCAAGGGCTATACTGGCTGGGAATTCTGAGAGTTGTAGTCTCATGGCATCAGATATGGGACATTGCTCTGGAATCCCAATTGTCTTGATGCCGTTGGCCAAATAATCTTAGCGTGATAAGCATGTTTAAGTCCTGTAAGATTTGGAGTCTTGATACTCTGTTCCTTCCCTACAACATTCTGGGACATTCCCATCATACGGACAGCGGACACAATATTTCTTCTCCTTCCTCATTAGTTTTCATGCTCTGAATTCATGACTTGGTACTATCTGGATATCATGTTTGAAACCAATGAGTGACAACTGTAATATGAGAATGAATGTAGGCAGAATCCATTATAGGTCGATCAGTCAATCTCAGCCTTTTTCTTGAGAGGGTCAGCTTGACTCTGGAATGATACATTGGGGTCTGCACTTCAAGAAGGAGATGGGTCAGGACACAGCTCTAATTCACCGGTGCATAAGGGAAGCAGACAGCATTGTCTGGGACAAGCAAGGGGAAGGTGTGTGCCAAAATGCCTTTGGAGCTTGTTTACAGAAGGAGCGAGTGTCTGAACTGATTACTGTGGAACTGTGAAGTGTCTGTTCCATAGCCACATGGTGCCTTCTGACAATAAGATGACGCACCTTGCCAGAGAGGGGCTTGTGCACCATCCCTTGAAAATTAATGATTTTTGCTTGTCAACTGGAAGCTGTTCCAGATGTTGCTTACCAGATGTGCTGGGACTGCAGTCTGCAAAATTCCTAGCCAGCAATTTCAGTCTTAGCACATTTGGAGGAAACAAATTAAAAGAGGCTGCCTTACCTGATATCCATATCCCAATTATCACCCACTAATTTTTCTCCCTCTGCACAAGAATCCTCTAATCTTGAATCCTATCAGGCATGTTGAGAAATCCACCACCATAATTTTTGGAGGAAAGCTATGACTTCAACACAAATAAAAGAATAGCAGAGTTGTGGCCTTTCAGGTATGGCTGGATTAAAATTCCGTCATCCTTGATCATTGTCTTTGTTAGTTGGGATCACAGAAAGTTGGAGTCCAGGAACATCTGAAGAGCCACTAGTTCTCCAAATTGTCCTAAGAAGTGCTTCAGTAGAAACACAGAAGATAAGTGTTGTAGATGTCTAAAACCAGCTATCGTGTAGTCTACCATAGATCCAGAGGGTGAAAAATGAGTTTTCTTTCATTTCCCTCTCTCCCTGTAATTTGAAATATGGCCAAGACATTGGAAATTGCTGAAACACCTGAACTAGTATATTGCACTGGGCTGATAGTAAAGCTGTGCAGATTTACTGAGAAATAAGCTTTATTGCTTATTTCAACGGATCATCACTGTATGGCTTATTATTGACGAGCAAGGTCAGAGAAAAAGCAGAGTGAACACTAGCAGCAGTGGCTATTCCTTTGCACCTTAACAAAAGAACGAGAAGCAAAAAAATTGCTGAGCAAATGACAAGCAGTTTGGGATGAGAGATCCACCATGGGACTTTTGAGACCAGGGTTGTCCAACCTTACCATACATTGGCAACTTTAAGACTTGTGGACTTCAGCTCCCAGAATTCCCTAAACAGCAATGCTGGCTGGGGACTTCTGGCAGTTGAAGTTCACAAGTCTTAAATTTGCCAAGGTTGGACACTCCTCCTTTAGGCCAAGAGAAGGTTGGCAGCTGCCCATGATGCTGAAGAGCAACGCCATAAATCAGGGGTGTCAAATTCATAACATCACATGCCGTGTTGTGACATATTGCAACTTTTTTTGCCATTGCTGGCAATGGGGTAGGCGCGGTTTCGCAATGATGCATCTGGCCCACAGGCCAGCAGTTTGACACCCCTGCCATAGATTATAAGCCACTTAATTGGGTTTCTTCAACCTTTTCTCGATAATCTTGAGATCTACGAATAAATCAATGTAGGGTTCTAGGAGCTGAATGATGTAGTTTGGCAGAGGAAAGGCTGAGTTCACGGACAATGATGCTTTGGAGGTCCATCTCTGTTCCTTGCCACAGGCTTCCATTCAATGGGGTCCTTCCAGTGAAGCAAACAAAGCCCATCCACTAATCGTATTCTCTTTGCTTAAGGACCATATTTTTCTCTGTAGAGGCCTTTGCAGTTGATGAGTCATCTTTACTATCTAAGGTCCTGCACTTCTGGTGTGCTGTCATGTTAAGCTTCCTATCCTGGAAATGTAGTAATTTACATTTTTCCCATGTTTTTTGAAAGCCCTTTCAACAAGGTTGATTCATTGATAGGACAGCTAGACAAATCCCATGCCGGCAGACCCTGGGGGATGTGGGTGGATGAGAAAGGGAGGGCAGAGTTTTTGGGTAGGGGGGAACCACTGGCTGTTTTATAGTTAGACAATATTCAGAAACAACAGTGCAGTCAACTCAGCCCAGCTTTGAGAATGGGTTGTTCAAGTATTGCTTGGAAGAGAAATCTATGGATACTGAGCACACACAAACCTGCAAAGCAAATGGTTAAATAAAGCAAGTTTATATGCCCTGTCCAGAGATTTTTTAAAATTGTTACTCAAATGCCTAGGATCTGCCCCTTTCTATGCTATATAATGTTGTTTTTTTAAAAAAAATACTGTACATAAAGAGAAATAAACCTTTGTAACAAGAGAGGCTGGGTATGGATCTTTGTCAAGCGGAACAAGTCTGTTTTCAGAGTAATAGCAGAGCAAAGATAAATTGAATATAATCCTAGGTCACAGTTTGGTTTCTTTGACTGGGGGAGTGTGTGAAAAAAATTGAGAGAATGGCCACAAAGTGATCAAAGTCCCAATCCTTTACAGGTAGTCCTTGACTTGCAATCATTCATTTAGTGACTGTTCAAGTTACAATGGCACTGTAAAAAGTGACTTATGACTGGTTTACACACTTACAACCATTGGAGCATCCCCATGGTCATGTGATCAAAGTTCAAATGCTTGGCAACTGGCATGTATTTATGACAGTTGCACTGTCCTGGAATCATGTGATCAGCATTTGTAACCTCCCCAGCCAGCTTCCAACAAGCAAGACAATGGGGGAAGCCAGTTCCACTTAATGACCAAATGATTCAATTAACGGTTGCAGTGATTCACCTAACCACTGTGTCAAGAAAGGTCGTAAAATAGGGCAAAACTCACTTAACTGTCTTGCTTAGCAATGGAAATTTTAGGCCTCAATTGTGGTAATAAATGAAGGACTACCTGTATACATGCATAGCATGTCCAACATACATAAAAATGGATATGACTTTGATTATGTTCCAGCTTCTATCTTAATTTCCTTTATTCTTCTGCAAACATCTCTGATGCTTGGTTTGGGCTCAAGATAATTTGGGAGACCAGCTATTGCAGTTGATAAACCATGCATTAGGCTTTGTGTATGACTCAAAATTCATTTGATAAACAATGATAAAACCATGGCTTGATCATCCTTGTGTCTCCATTGCAGATTATAGAGCCAAAGGAAAGATTAAATCAGTCATTCTGAAAAAACATTCCTTTGAAAAATAGCTTATATACTCTTCTAAATAGCATAGAGCATTGTGGTCATGCTGCAGAAATTGATGGTATTCAGGAATAGCAAGAAAGCCCCATGTCTGAAGTAAGTGGTCACCTGTAAAGATTAAATCTGGCTACAGGTATCCATTAGAAACCATAGTGGAAGGTGTTCGCCACCTTGATTTATTTATAAAAATGATAAATGAAAATAGTGACATCACATGCATAATAATAAACTTTATTACGGTCGTAGACCAGCAATAGTCATCACTTTTTACAATATATTAAATAATAATAATAATAAAAATAGTACTAACATTAATAGTAAATAATAACATCCCTGTTAAGAAAATACATGTTCTCAAAATGTTAGGGTCACTTCCTAATTTACGTGAGTGGATAGCTGATTAATGTGTGAGTAAATATAATGTTCCAAACATTATTAGAGATATCTCCAAAAAATAGGCGCAAGTTGACGGCTATAAATCTGTAACGAATTTTTTTCTTGTGGACATTGCAGCAACACAGTATTTTGCCACTGCATGCGTGATAGAAGGGTTTGAGTCCTGGAGGAGAAAGCCTACATAAAAATTGTCTGCCCTCCCTGGCAATCTCTCTAATAAAGGGAGAATATATGCTGTTTTATAAACTTGATATAATTCACAGTACAATAAAACATGTGAGATATCTTCGACTTCTCTTTTATCACATATACATACCCGTTCTGCTATTGGTGTTCTTATACCTGCCCTGTAGGAGTGCTGAGGGAAGAATGTTAAATCTGGCTCTGAAAAAAGCTATTCTTTGTTTTGGGAAGGTCAGATTATTCAAATATCTTGCCGATTCCCACACACCCTGTTTGATTCTATCCCTACTGTGGCAAGGCAACCTATTTAGTTCTTCTTGGAACTCCATGTCCTTTATTCTGTTGGATACTACTTGCTTTGTTTGGTCAAAGCCTAGGGACATTAAGAATATCGAAGAGAGCCCATAAGAGCCCAGGTTATGGTCTATTGTCTGCTTCCAGGGGGAAGGAAAGTTGTCAGTCAGCACTAACGGGGACAGTCCCTCTGGAAAGAAATGCATTTTAAGCCAGTGAATGATCATCATCTTCCAGGCTCTTACCTGGATTTGGGGTATGCCTGTCTCAATTCTTAATTGGGCATTTGGGGTTCCTTTGGGTGCAGCTAAGATGACTCACAGGAATTTGGTTTGCATGGTTTCCAGCAAGTTTTTCTTTGCAAGGATTCCTGTTTGTGCCCCATATAGAATTTGCGTTAATGTTTTGGCCTCGAAAAGTTTTAAGTCCTTGACTTGCAATCATTCATTTAGTGACAGTTCAAGTTACAATGGCACTGTAAAAAGTGACTTATGACTGGTTTACACACTTACGACTATTGGAGCATCCCCATGGTCTTGTGATCAAAGTTCAAATGCTTGGCAACTGGCATGTATTTATGACAGTTGCACTGTCCTGGAATCATGTGATCAGCCAGCTTCCAACAAGCAAGACAATGGGGGAAGCCAGTTCCACTTAATGACCAAATGATTCAATTAACGGTTGCAATGATTCACCTAACCACTGTGTCAAGAAAGGTCGTAAAATAGGGCAAAACTCACTTAACTGTCTTGCTTAGCAATGGAAATTTTAGGCCTCAATTGTGGTAATAAATGAAGGACTACCTGTATACATGCATAGCATGTCCAACATACATAAAAATGGATATGACTTTGATTATGTTCCAGCTTCTATCTTAATTTCCTTTATTCTTCTGCAAACATCTCTGATGCTTGGTTTGGGCTCAAGATAATTTGGGAGACCAGCTATTGCAGTTGATAAACCATGCATTAGGCTTTGTGTATGACTCAAAATTCATTTGATAAACAATGATAAAACCATGGCTTGATCATCCTTGTGTCTCCATTGCAGATTATAGAGCCAAAGGAAAGATTAAATCAGTCATTCTGAAAAAACATTCCTTTGAAAAATAGCTTATATACTCTTCTAAATAGCATAGAGCATTGTGGTCATGCTGCAGAAATTGATGGTATTCAGGAATAGCAAGAAAGCCCCATGTCTGAAGTAAGTGGTCACCTGTAAAGATTAAATCTGGCTACAGGTATCCATTAGAAACCATAGTGGAACGCCACCTTGATTTATTTATAAAAATGATAAATGAAAATAGTGACATCACATGCATTATAATAACGGGCCTTCAAACCTGGCCCTTTTATGACTTGTGGACTTTAACTCCCAGAATTCCTCAGCTAGGCATGCTGGCTGAGGAATTCTGGGAGTCGAAATCCACAGGGCTGAGTCTGAAGACCCCTGCATTATAACATTGTGCAAATGTCACAAGTGACTTCATTACATGCTCTCAAATTGCCTATGAATCTGGAATACTTAACCTGCCATGGAGGTGGGTTAATGGAGCAACACAACAACATCATATCTCTGGTGAGATGTGATCTTTTTATTCTGAAAGTTTATTATTATTAAGCTCTTTAATTTATATCCTGCTGTTCTGGCGTGGAGGACACCCAAGATGGCTAATAGTTTTGTTTTAAAAAGAAGCAGGCATCTAGCTAAAATTGAATAAATCCTGTTAAAAACAACATTTAGCTAACTGAAATGAGGAAAAAAAAGATGAAATTGGAAGAAATAAGCTCTTGGACCCTACCCCAAAGTGCAACTATCAAGGAAGCAGTTTCTACACGTTAGCTAAATTTTGCTCATCTTGAATAATCCTTGAGTAGCCGCCAGTCCTCCTCATCAGTAAACATTTTCTAGTGAGTAAATCCTGTTTATCTCAGCCGTGGCAACAGCTGGATGACTTTGTGTTTAGAAGCTAAAAGGGGGCTGTGATTAAAATGTAGGCTGGACTGGAAAACATGTTTGAAATGAGCAGGGGATGGACTAGAAGACCTTCAAGGTCCCTTCCAACCCTGTTATTCTATATTCTGGAAGAAGAAACCTGCACAGATGAAGCCACGAAAGTTACTAAGAATAACAGAATAACAAAATAATAGTTGGGACCTTCAGGATCTTCTAGTCCAACCTCCGGCTCAAGCAGGAAACAAGATAGAAAAAGATGTTCTACTTTTTTAAGGTCCTTCCTCCAAGGAGGAACTCTGAAAAACCTACTCTAATGGCCTATAGTTGATGCCAATTGGATCCCTGGGAGCTGAAAGTGTTCTATCCCAAGTGTCTTGAATTATGAAGGCTTACTAGACTTTGTGGACCAAGATAATTGTTTCCTTCGACCTTTTGTGCTCTATTTTTGGATTATCATTTCTCATGACCAGGTATGATTTGATTTATCTACCATAGCTTTTTGCAATTCCTTACATTTGTAGTCAACTATCTGGAAGTCGTGCTCATACATCAGGCTTATCCTGATAATTGGATGAACCTGTTTTCTAGTTGGCACAAGGAGCTGAACTCCAAACGAACTCAATGGATTCCTTTTGGATAGCATGTGCAGTCCTTGTACAAACATGGCTTACTGCAGAAGGGGCTTCGTGTGTAGTATGGATGGGTTGGCTACATCTTTACCTGACCTCATTAAGCCTGCCATGTGAACAGAGCCTTTCTAAATAATGTAATGCTATTGAGTGAGTGTATTGATTTCCCCTTGGGAAGAATCTATCCAAGTCTTCAGAGGAAACCAGTGGGTAGGATCAGAGCTGAAAGTGGGAGGGGTGATCCCCTTCTTTTTCTCTGTTATGCTCGCCTTTTATCTCTTCCTTTCATTCACTGCTATTCTTTCCCTGATACTGCCCAGTTTTACACAACACCAGTTTGGTGTCTGTAGCTCTTTAGAAGACTGCCTTTTATAATGCCCGAGGCACCTTTATGTGTCCATTTGCTCAACCTTCATGGCATCTAAGCAAAGGGACAGTCTGGGTCCAGAATATGGCTTGTTTTATTAATGGTCTAGTAGTCAATTTAGACTTCAGCAAGAAGTTACAATCAAACAGTAGCTTGATGGGCTCAGTCAGATGCAGTTTGTAATTTTTTTTAAAAAAAATAAAGCTTGAAAGGGATGGGTGTTAATGGGTGTAATCTTCAAAATCAATCTGCTTGGTGTGTTTTTTTTTAACATTGGTCAGATAGTTCAAGTGGGCATT